AAGTTGGTTAGCCTTTAGTACTTGAGCCAACAGCTGTTTACTGCTGCTTACGGTCTCTTTTATTAACGTCTCTTTTATTACGTTCTTTTATTACGTCTCTTTYATTACGTCTCTTTTATTACTTCTCTATTCCTTGCTTTTCTTTTTGATGTTAATGTTGTTCTGCTGTTGTTGTTTTTGTTGTTGCTGTTGTCATTAGTTTTGTTGTTTTTTATTGCCGTTGTTGTTCTCGCTGTTGCTGCTGCTGTTGCTGTTGTTCTCGCTGTTGCTGGTGTTGCCGATGCTGTTGTTGCGACTGTTGTTGTTGTTGCTACTGTTGTTCTTGTTATTCTTGTTCTTGTTGTTGCTGCTGCTGTTGTTGTTGTTGTTTTTGCTGTTGTTGCTCAGTGTTGTTGTTGTTGCTGCTGTTGTTGTTGCCTGTTGTTGCTGTTGTTGTGGTCGTTGTTACTGCTGTTGTTTGCTGTTGTTGTTGTTATTGTTGTTGTTTTTATCGTTTTTGATGCTGTTGTTGTTAAAATCATTGCTACATGTACAACATAAAACTAACTTCTCAGGCCTAATACCCATATAACCATCCCAATCTTCTTAGCATGCGGTTTGCATTTTTGCTGATTTCCTTGAGGAAATTACTAATTAGAAAAATATAAAAACTAATTTTKTTGGAGATCGGGACGATTATTAGGCCTTGCAAAATTTCTTCGGTTAAAAGGATAATTTTATTGATACAATTAAGACCAGTTTTGTACGTCGAATCTAACATGTACTGAGTTCAAGGCAAATAAAATGATCACTGAAAGGAGCAGCTGAAATAGATGGGAATAGGCCGTTTGCATTATGGCGTAACTTTACTACAACTACCAGAGTGCCTTGCGCATTTTCATTGTTATTCAGATTTTTAATCCCCTTGGAGATTAATAAAACAATTGGCACTAATTGCATTACAAAAGAAAGTTGGCAAAGCATTCTGGTAGTTGTAGTAAATGAAGCCATAATGCAAATCGGCTATTGAACTCAGCACGAACAGGTTTGATTTAATGATAAACGACAATACTGCGATAGTGGATAGCAATTAACCTTTTGTTTGTTCAGGCTGAGATAGCCATCAAACGCTTACATCGAACTTTTARTTATCTTAAAAAGAGAATACAGTACCCACAATGACTTGYGATCGTASAWTTCTCCSATTCTCAATAACAACCTTTTCAGAAGCAGTTGTATCCAARTGCTTATTRTTTTCGTCTTTGGTTTATTTCATGATTAGTCGCTTCCGTGTTGTATTAAACATAAAGCACTTAAAATCGCAATCTAGGTTAATTTTTATTTTACATTATTAGGAAATGGTACTTCAGAGACAGACGTAGCAAAACCCTCACTCCAAACCTRCTGGATTAGCTTCATGATATTGTGAAATACATAATGGACATGGTAATGGACTTGTAATCTACGACAGCCAACTATCTGTTAAAGATCTACTAAAGTACACAGAGGAACTGAGATAATCCTATATTTAAAGAACACGCTTCAGATTAGAGAAATACTGGACAGTTTGTCAGATTGGGATTCTAGGTCATAGTTTCTTAGTATTTTAAAAATGACAATATAAGCAATTCAGTCACCAAAAAGTACCTTATAATGCGACACGTCTGTAAAATATAACCAAAGTATAAATACTAAGAAAAGAGAATGGAATTATATGTCTTTTCAAGCTTTTRAACTKCTTACAAAAACGTCGGACGACCGGCTGGGCACCTGGAGTTCAAAAAAGCCAACATCGYAGCGAATATATCACCTAARTATAAATACTAAGAAAAGAGAATGGAATCATAGGTCTTTTTTAAGCATTTAAACTGTGCCGTCACAWAAACTGTGAACCACCGGCTTGGCACCTGGAGTTCAAAAAAGTCATCGTAGCGAAGTTTAATCGAATTGACTGCCATTCACTGCTGTCACGCAGTTGGATAAAACCTTGGAACCCTTTTTACATTCATGTGCATGAAGACAAGGTGTTCATAGAATACGTAAGATTGGTTATTTAACAATACTGKTTTTGTTGATCGTCTGGCCGCATGGTCAAGACTCTCCGTTAACAAAACATTACCAACATTGAGAATTATTTATCAATCACTATAGTGACGATTAAACGCTCTAGAACACTTGATCACTGAGGGAGAGCGACGTTAAATATTCGAGAAGAACAGCTAATAATCAACATTGGGCATTGGACAGCCAGTAAACAAGTGTGTCTGATGATTAATCGTTCTGGAATATTTTTAAAATCTCGCCAAAAAGGAAATGGAGTAAAACAAGCGTCTCAGCAGYGATCAAACGTTCTCGAATACATACGATATCATCAGGAAATCAACTATTAAAATCTGTATAAGCTGAATAACAAAGAAAAGATCGAACTACTGATAGCCTGCATAGAAGTGCAATTCATAGAATAGCAACCTTATTGTGATCTAAATTACGTAAAGAAACAATTACGTCAAAAATCCACCGATGTCTTTGTTTGGAAACACGCACGTTAACAATTCGTTTAACACTGTTAACGCGTTAACGAACGTAAACTATTCCGTAAAACCATACTTCAATGCTTCAGGTTACGCGCTTGAGAACGTAAATGGAAGCAGATACGCAAACGAAACCGTAAACGGGCCAACAAATAGTTGTCTTACGGACTTACCATTGATTCTACCGATCTTACTTTACGTAATGATACTGTTACTGTCATTGGTTGGTAATTCGCTGACTCTTGCGGTTATCATCAACGGAAAAYTTACGAGAAAGAGCGCGCATTGCTTTCTCCTCAACATGGCGATTGCTGACTTAGTAGTAACGGTTGTCTATATGCCGAGAATGATAGCAAAGTACAGTGTGGGTAGAGAATGGCTTGTTCACGGTGCGTTAGGTCTAGCGTTTTGCCGTATTGTACCGTTTCTTCACCACGTGGCTATACTAGTATCGTTATTTAATATACTTGGAGTCACCGTCGATCGATTTTGCGCCATGGTTTTCCCGCTACGTAACATCATGACTCGTACTGTTACCAAAATTCTGATTATCGCTACGTGGATTACGTCCGCTTGTTTACGTTTTCCGTATCTTGTCACGCCGATATTGAAGATCTCAAGGGGAGCTCTTGTATGTGCATCTAACTTAAAGGCGTTATTAGGCGATAAATTTCGTGTTTATGAGAGACTTCTGATGTCCGTATACTCGTCTTCGCTGTTAGTCACTATTCTACTGTACTCTGTACTTATAGTAAAACTAAAGCAAGCAAAGCCACCGGGAGTTTCAAACAGATTCGCAAAGTCAAGAAAAGAGCAAGCATCGAGAAAACTACTTCAAATGCTTCTCGTCATCACGATTTGCTTCATCCTATGTTGGTTTATTTATTTCTTCGCGTTTGAAATCTTTGAGCGGCCATTAAACTGTGAAATAGGACTTTTAAGGTTTGTTCTTGCGCATAGCAACTGCGCACTCAATCCCGTCATTCTTTGCGTGTTTAACAGACAGTATAGAAAACGGTTTAAAAACATCGCGAAAAGTATCTTGGGACATCGTAAAAGTAGGTCTTCTGTTAGGGCGTTTAATGGCGATGTTGTGGCAATACGGTGTAGAAGGTTGGATGATACGAGTGCAATTTCTGGACTATCGACTGTGAAGAGAGAACCGCGCAACATCGACGACATTGAATTGTCTTTTACGAACAGTTAGAGACATTAAACCTGTGAAACAAAATCTGATAGTCAAGGTTTCAATACATAGACTAATTCAATATGCTTTCTGAAAGAAAACTGAAAAAACTGAACAATTGGACTTGCTTTTGAAGTTTCATCTCAGAAGTTCTTTGAAATTGATTTCCTAAGTGAAGGCCAAAGCGCACAAATTGAACAAATTGACAAGCTTTCAATCGACTTCCAAGAGACACTTGATAAAATACACACTAAAGGAGCACCCGTGAGGTTTTTCAAAATGTTATCTCAACTGAAAGAAAGTCCAAATTAGGGGGAAAAAATTACAAGATTCCAAGTGGCTTCCTGGGGACACTTCAATGCGCAGGTATAATAAAAAAAATACTTTGTCCTATAAACGCAAAAGGAAAATACATCAAGCTCTCAAATATGTTCCAGTAGGCACTTTATTATTTTGCTAAGTTCCGACGCAGATGTTCGTTGAGAAAAGGCTTTTTTCAAACGTAAAGACAGCGCAAATGGACGAATTGACAAGCTCTCAAGTGGCTTTCAAGACATACGTCATACTTCCCGACTAACAGAAAGCAAATTACCACAGACTAAAAACTGACGCACAGAGATTCCAAATTGTCCTCGAGGGATAAAGCGATATATAATATCCATCAAGCTAAAACACTCTACTTGTACACGTGCTACGAGGACGTTAATACTTAATTGAGGAGACGTCTCAGATAAGGCTTTTCAGAACAGTTATTAATTCGTTTCTCGTTAGCAAAGTGTACAGACTTTAATGTTTCGCTTGTTYTTTCTTGAGTACTACTTACTAAGTACTACTTTAGTGCACTTAGTACTTAACACCATGATACAGCAAAAATAAAAAAATCACCCAAAATATTGTTTCTAGAACACAATAATTGTGTCTAAATTACAGACACCTCTGTACTACGGACACCTCTATATTACGAACACCTCTATATTACGAACATCTCTATATTACGAACACCTCTATACTACAGACACCTCTATATTACAGACACCTCTATATTACGAACACCCCTATATTACAGACACCTCTATATTACGAACACCTCTATATTACGAACACCTCTATATTACGAACACCTCTATATTACGAACACCTCTATATTACGGACACCTCTGTATTACATACACCTCTGTATATAACGAATATCTCAATATTACGGACAGATACTTGCCTCTCGCACTAAGCATCCATAACGAAAAAGACTCTTTACGTTTGCAAACATTTCTATCAGCACAGTTGAACAAACAAACAAGCTATACCTTTCAGAATCTTTTCAATCAGTTTATCTGCCAGACTAGAGGGTTTTTCAGTCTTTGGCACAGCAATAACATCGCCTTCATTTGGTGTTATGTCTGTAAATTCACTTGGATTTGCCTCATTTCCTATTGCAATGGATATCACTCGGATCTTTCTTTGGTCCAACGGTTCACTGGCTGCCATTAGGACGTCTTTGCTTAAACCAGATGCTCTGTAAAGTACGAATAAAAACCGTCCTTTTATTAGGAAACTTAAGCTTTGACAAAGAGTACGAGTACGGGTTTTAAAATAAACATTGGTCAAATTATTATTTTCGTTCATTTCAAAAAGCAATAAATTCAACCTTTCCGTAGGAATAACAGACCAAGATTTTAACCGACTATTCGCTTCTTCGCATTGACTATTTCTTTCTACTTTCGTGTGTGTACAACAGGTAGGTTTTTTATCTGTGAGTGACAGTTCTTGAGTTCGTGTATAGTGAATTTATTAAGGTGTCAAGAAAAGAATAAAAGGGTTTTTTTTGGCAAGGAGCGACATGTCGAGGTAAGAGTTCTAGGAGACATGAGAAGTCCATGTGTGGTAGATTTACAACATAAATAATGCAGTAATTAACAAAAGCAAAATGAACCTGAATCTGAATAAAGGAAAAAAAACAGAAAAATTGAAGAAAAAGGAAAGAAATGAAGCAAATTCATGGAAAGTTGTAAAGTGTGAATGGAATGGAAAGAAAAACGATGAAAACAGAGATAAAAAAGATGAGAGATGAAAAGAGAGAAAACATAAACAAAAAAATAGGAAATTAGTCTGATAAAATTATTTACATAAGGGCATTATTAATCCGCCATCTTGTCGCCTGYGATACCCCTACACAGCGGAATTATGGACAGCTAACGAGTAAGATATTACAAACGTACCTATCAGTAATAACGACCAAAACTTTCTTGGCATTTCTTCKTACAAACGKATTCAAAAACAATTTACGACCTTCCTTCAAAGCTTCATCTAACGACGGACCACCGACTCTCCTMGGGAGGGCACTTATAAAGCCTTTAAGATTCTCAGCATTAGGGAACTTCTCGCTGAATTGGACGAATGTCTTGGGCGAGGCGCCGAACACGATTACRCTATAATGGAACTTTTCGATGCCATAATCGCTCACGATTGTGTTGATCRTKTCTTTCATCAGCTTGTAAGTTTGTGTCGAYGAAGCTGATGTTGARCTCATAGCAAAAGCGAGGTCAATTTCTGGGATGACTTTTTCTGTTGAGTACATTAAATTAGTAAATAAATTATTAGAATAAATYAATAATTCAAGTTTACAKGAAAGTGAGTGACTGAGTGAGTGACAGATTCGTCCCCTCCAATAACTCTTCAATTGCTTCGCAATCTTCGAGTTAATAAAGGGCAAGGTTATGTTTTAAACTGAACAATATAATGATAATGATGATCATTATAACGATAATAATAATAATGTTGATGATGACAATGATGATGTAATTATAACGATGATTATAATAATGCAACGACAAAATTAACCTAAACCTTGACTCACCTTCCTCAATTCTTGCAATAATCTTATCAGCGAGACTTTTAGAAGTCTCTTTATTTG